ACTGAGAGAGATGGAGAACAAAATCGATAGTGGTAGGACTTAAAATTGTAAAACAACAGTCCAACAATTTTTTGATAACATTGCTACCTAAAGGTTGGGGGACTCCAATTTGCATTAGTTGCTACACCTCCATAAGCTGATGTAGATGAACTCGTGTAAGAATTCGTCCCATTTTCCCTCTTTAAGTTTCCCATATAATGCACCAGATTCTAAAAGAGAATGCATAGAACAAGAAACCATATGTAATTAATAGTCAAGTTTCCACGTAACCGAACAAATAACGACTTCTCAAAATTGTAATACTCATATATCATAAGAGATAGACTTAGTTGAACCACCATGTATGGCATAATGGTCTACACAACTTATGACTCCACGATTGGAAGTGTTACCACCACCACCAACACAAGGCCTAGATTTTGTCATATCCTTATACTTGTGCAAATACAAGCAAAAATAAACTACTCAAATGAGCAATTTAATAGCATATCGAATCTTGTAGTACCTTTGAACAAAAAAAAAGTATTATAAGACAACCAAACTGATAACACATGAGAAATTTACATAAAAAAGTTATATGCACCATGAGTGCAAGACAAATTCACACAAACATGTAATAATTGACTAGTTTTGTTTAAAGATTCTGTATATTATGGTTACAGTAAATAACTTAAGGAGAAATATAAAAGAAGTAATGCACATATAGATGTTAGAGTAGTATTTGCTAGGCCAAGAAAGAAATTGTAAAAGATCACAAACTTGTATCAGAAACTATAATCACCAGTAAGAAGGAAGTCCATTTTCAAACATAAAATCCTTCATTTATATAGAAAACAATTTTCAAGATACATGAGTATACAAATCACCAATCAACACATCCTTCACTTATATAAACGACAATTTTCAAGGCATCTACTTACAGAAGTAATTCAGTTGTCATAGAATATACTCATTACATATTTGAACACGCCAGAAGTAGCTTTAAAATATGTACATTAAGCTTAAAAGGTTGTACCTCGTCAAATTTCATGATAACTGAAAGTGCTCTAGTTATGTACCATGTTGCAATGTAGCAGGATGTAAACCAATAATGAAAATTTAAAGAAAAGTTTTATACATAAAACAAAATCTAGAAACAATTGGCATAAACCAATAATGTTAACCATAATAAATGCATAAACATAGGACCTACGCGAATCATCTGTCTAACACAATAGTCATCTAAATCATCATCTATCCAACTACTGCTTATAAACTATCTGGTCTGATACGCCTTGTTAGAACAAGAACATTTTCACAAAAAGAATATCAAACAACCATTCTGTACAATCCAATGTGAATAAAAAAACCAGTATGATTCAAGAAAAGGGAACAAAAAAAAAAAAAACCCAATGTGATTAGATAAAAAACCAATGTAATTCAATAAAAAAAAAGCTAATATGATTTATTATCCGACATATTTCAGATTTCAATCAAAAGAACAATAAAGCAAGACCAGGAAGCAACATGACATGTTATTCGAGCAAAGCAAGATCAGGAAAAGTAGCGAAAACATCCAAACAGTAGTAATATGATGAGCAGAAAAACATTCCCCAACTGTTCACTTATTAATCAAATCTTATAAAACTAAAAACCATGGATAAAAGTTACCACTCTAACAATAATGAGAACAACCAAGACCAGAACAGTACACAAATGGGAAAAAGGAAGAAGTCATTAGAAAGAATAAAACCAAGACATTTTCTTCTAAAAACCCATATTAACAGGTACTCATGTGCTATTGAAGAACACGACCAACATAATCCTCTAGATATGCAACATAGGGAACATAAAATGGTATTCAAGCACCCATATACCTCCAAACGTTTTCATAAAAACTAGAAATAGAAAATTAACTCACCTATTCAAGAATGCTTTAATAAGATTTTAAAAGTTTTTATCTAAATACTTTAATAAGATAATAAAGAAAAGGGAGGATGGATAATGTGAACTTGTATATTAAGATAATACCCTCTTCTATGATATTAAACACACCTAAAAAAACCCTAATCTGATCATAACAATTTGAACAACGAAAAAACATAAACTGAAAACCATCATACGATGGATGTGACATTGACTAAGATATTCACTCAAGAAGATGGACAAATTAGTGATGATTATCATGTCAGTGCCAAGGATTTTCTGTCGTTAGATTGTAAGGCAACGTGAGCCAATGCCCCAAAACAAACGCGCTACCAAGCTGCACTACATCCCTTCTATTGGTCGGTTAAGAATTCTCTTTGTATGCGCGTTATCTCTTGTCTACTAAGGACCTATAGGTTCGCACTAATTAAAATTGCCAACCTACGGTTGATATTGGGGATATGACTTTCATCCCATTCATATGATATCGAACCTGATGATACCTAAATTCAATTAAAGCAGGACAACTAAGGCAAAACATGTTCCAACACCAAGTAGGCTGCAGTCCTACTTTCAGAGTACGCCTTCAAAATTGTCCTTATGGCATATAAGGCACGACCAGATGAACGTGATGAATCAAGTTTAAGGACATTATATTTAGTTTAAAAAATAAAATCTAGCCATCAAAATGCTTATTTCTTGGATCACATATTGGCACTAGGGATAAACATTGCAACTATTGTTTTAACAAGATACACATATTTATATAGAAGATGGGAGGGATATAGATTACCGTGAGATCTTGATGCTTTGACTAAACCACAAGAAATCGTTGCCTTTCATGTCCATTATATTATCAGTTTTCGGAACCTGCATAATGGACCACACTCAAATGAATAACTCCTCCAATCATATAACTCTACCAAGAAGCCAAGCCATGTGGTGTCATACAAATGAAATACTAAATGGCAAACGATATAAAACCATATGTAAGTGAAGAAGTTGGAAGTGCTTCAATGATCAACTTCACCTTTCCATTTGCACATAAGCTAAAAAATGATAGTATCATTTGGTCCAAAAAGACCACAACTTACTGCAGAATCATGGAAACCGCTAAAAAATCAAAAAATTATGTTTGAACAAAACAAACATAATAGTGGCTTAAAAAGACATAAGTTGCAACCATGGACAACGTTACAAAAAATCAGAAGTTTATGTTTGAACGAGACCAAAATAAGACAAAAGCTTAGGGCAGAATCATGGAAACCATAAAAAAGTTCAGAAATTTACATTTACGTTAATATGATTTTGTACATTTTTACTCATGGTATATTGTTTGATTTTGCTAATATTTAAGTTAAAATGATGTGTACATTTTTAACTTGGAAATGACGTGAATTGTTTTTTACTTCTCCAAGTAATTAGAAACTTACTCAGATCATGCAATTTGTATTGAATTGTCTTCTAGCATCTTCAGTATCTAAACAAATTCAAAGAAGAATGATATGAATCCAAAAAGAAATGTCACCTGAGATTGAATCCATACCAAGATAGATATATATATTCAAACCATAAATATGTGACTTTGTACGTGAAATTATAAGAATTAATACCTTAAGTTTATGATCCAGGAGCAATACTCCTTAAACACACCCCTCTTTTACCATATCCTTATGTCAAAACACAACACTACTTACATGATTTGGTTAGTTATGTACTTTTGTATAGTGGCTGCAACTACAATCATCTATAACGAAGAGTCACTTACCTACTGAAGATATGAGATTACTTCTTTCTCTTGTTGTGAAAAATCAAATACCACAATGTCTACCTCCTTCCATTGAAAGAAAAATGAACCTCTTTCAATTAATCTGGCAAAGACGAAAGAGATTGGAGATTCAACAACAGAATATGATGGATTTTCAGTGTAAGATTCTTTGGAGTCGACAGTTGAGGAGAGTGGCTGAGTACTTGTAAAAGTCAAACACCTTATTGCCAATGATGATCCGTAGACCTGAATTTGAAGAATAGTAGAGCTGTAGGGGTACGGATACTAGAGATTGCACAACTCGATCCCATGGTTAGGTACTTAGGTTAAAAATCTAATTATCTGGGTTACATTGAACATCAAAGACACAACAATCCAACACGAGAGGGGTTGGTGGTGTGAAAACTTGAGGAGGAGAACGAATGTAGAAATGGATATGGATCTTGAACATTTCCATCGAAACCATAATTAATAACATCTTGATGGGAAGCCATTAGATTTTCTCTACATCTAGGAAATCTGGGTGTCATCTCGTTCTCCTAACTCGATTTGGTGACAAAGAGAGGTTGTACCAGAAGAACCGACTGAGAAAAGGAGCGGACCGTAGGAGAGAATTGAGGGTGGGAAGTCGAAAAGAAAGGGATCATATTAGGGGGTGGGGGTTTTACACAACTTCAAAAACTTGTATGTAAAGCATAAGGGAGATGTACCTTTTAAAATTCAATACTTAACAGTTTAACATGCTTTATAACACAGTATAGATTTTATTCTGATAACTTTTCAAAATTGGACCTTCTAGTGTTGGCGTTTAATTTTTCAGATGTGTTTTCATATTTAAGCCTACAACATTAAAAAAACAAATACCCTACAACATCTTCTATATGATTATATTTATCTTGATAAAGATGGGTATTTAAGTTATGAAGTCATAAGTCCGGACTGTGATGCCATAATTTTGAATACAGATCAATCCATGGAGTCATAGGTTCGGATTTTTTTCACACAAGGAATCGTATCGAATAATAAAAAAAACTATTATTTTTTTGTTTTAAGAGGTGTTTGGGATTGCTTATAAAAACTGCTTTTTAACTTATTTCAGTCTGATATCGATATTTAACAAATTTTATCTGCTTTGTATTGAATAATTTTTTGATACAAACGAATTGTTGTATAAATATTTTAGTAAATGGAAGAGAAAAAGGGGAAAAAGAACACGTCTTGATACCATGGTCCGGGTCTGTTTGTGGCCCCACTTATGCTCAATAATAAACCGTCTCACGTCCTCATTTCTTTCTCCCCCCTTAATCTTATATATACACCCCCTCATCGCTAACCCTAAATCCACACCACCATTGCCACCCCCATCACCCGTTTCTTCAGAGTTTCAGACTGTCTTTTTACCATGTCGATCAAGGACTTACCACCGCCACTGATTGTTATACGCTCTGTGTTTGCGTACAACCTTGAACCCGAATTCCGCTTGATCGCATCAATCATCGATGATTACCCTTTCGTTTCCATGGACACGGAGTTTCCAGGCGTCGTCGTTCGTCCTAACGCCGGCTACGATTACTTCCGCAACCAGAACGCTTCCGATCACTATGTCCTCCTCAAATCGAATGTTGACGCTCTGAAACTCATCCAGGTCGGTCTCACCCTCACCGATGCTGACGGAAATCTCCCTGATCTTGACGAGACCGATAATAACACTCGTTACATTTGGGAATTCAATTTCAACGACTTTGATCCGTCACGTGACCAGCACGCTTCCGACTCGATCGAACTTTTAAAACGACAAGGGATTGATTTTGAGAAGAATCGTGAATATGGGATTAACTCTGTGAAATTCTCAGAGTTGATGATGTCGTCGGGGATGGTATGTAACGAGCGTGTGAGCTGGGTGACTTTTCATAGCGCCTATGACTTTGGGTACTTGGTTAAGATCCTGACGGGTCGGTTTTTGCCAGATGATTTGACCCGGTTTCTTTATCTTTTGAGGACTTTCTTTGGCGATAACGTTTACGATGTTAAGCATCTGATGAGGTACTGTGAGAGTCTTTATGGTGGGTTGGACCGGGTGGCTAAGACTTTGGAGGTGGATCGAGCTGTTGGGAAGTGTCACCAGGCAGGTTCAGATAGCTTACTGACCTGGCATGCTTTTCAGAAGATTAAGGCTCTTTGCAGAGGCGGGCCTGAGAAGTATGCCGGCGTTCTGTATGGATTAGAAGTTTTCTGAGGTGTTCTCGTGATGGTAGCCTGTAGAAATCTCTTTTTAAAATCCTATTAGCAAATCAACAGCTGTAAAGTTCTGGTCTTTATAATATCAATTTAGCTGCGATCATTCAATTATTTGTTTTTTATTAGTTTTGACGATTCTATATAACAACTTAGGGGCCTTTTACCAAATGCTTACAGGGTATGCTTTTACGGGCATGAATCATCACCCTCACTTACCTTGTAGGATAACATTCCCAGCCATCAAAATGGATTACCGGGTAAGACTCTTAGATCCTTATCCTTGTTATGTTGGCCCGGTAAGATAATTGAACTTGTAAGCCTTTTACCGAGATAAGTGTTTAGTAAATGGCCCCTTACTAATTATACATATCTAGATGCAGCTGGGGTATGCAATATGCAGACCCCAAATGGCTATACACACTGCTTATTACAGCACTATGGTAAGTAGGTGATTGATTGATTATTCATCTTAGAAAAGCTGATGAAACTCTCGGGGAATATATCTTCATTCCATAAGAATGTAGAGACCAATAATGTCTGTTTTAGGTCACTTAGCTGTCTCCTCGGTTCAGACATTTGGTCTTTTAGTAATGTTGTATTTTGTGGACTTGTGAATTAGGAGATGTGAATTAGGAGATGTGAATTAGAAGATGTTGAGGTGAAGTCTGGAGCTTGGACCTAGTTTCTTTTTCTTCCTAATGTATGAAGATGAGATAATGATGTTTGTGTAGTTCTGAATGTAGTAGGGTAGCCAGCTTGGCTTACTTTGAGTCCTGGGAGGCTTAACGGAGGTATGCTAAGGGATTCTGATGTTCCTCTTGGAAATGTAGAGGTTTAAGAGGCCCTTAGTGAGGTTGCTTCACTGACTGTGGGTCATGAAAGGATTAAAGGTGGGTTTGAAATGCCATGAGATTCTGATGTGCTTGGAATGCCAGATGTTTAAGGGGTCCTCTGGGAATGTCCTCAAAGTCAAGGATACTGGGGTGTATTTGCTACTCATTCATATCATGAACTAGAACAAAGAAAAGATAAAATAGGAGAGAAGTGGATCATATCCCTTTTATTGTTTATAAAGTTTATTTATTTATTTCATATTTCAGATATATTGGCAGTTATTATGGTCAGAAATTAGTTTTTAGGCTGCTGATATGCTCATGCTGATAAGGCCATTTGTGCTGCTACTCTGCAAGAGTGAGTTTTGTAGATCATCACCCCTTTGCAGGTCATTAGTTTGTTTTCTCCAATCAGCATTGTGTTCTTTTAGTAGGCATAATTGTAATTCTTTCTTCTATGTATTGTGAAAAGCACCAACTATGTTGTTGGTGAAGAGTTTTTCATATGTTGAAAAAACATACAAAAGGATAGGGGTTGGAGATCTCTCTTATATGACTTTAAGGGGTGCAATATAAGCCAACTGTGATTTGGGCAAGGAAGACTATTCAGATTGGATCTCTATTGAGTACTTAAAAGCTTGTTGGGTGTCAACCCCTGTAATGATCTTATGCTCAAAATTTGAAGGTCATGTTGCTTTGTTGCAATGTTGGAGAAGGTGCTCAGTTGATTTAACCCTCACTTGGTCATTCTTGTACCTCCTGGAATTTCCTGTCTTCCGTTATCATCTGATAACCTCAGACTCAGAGGCTTATTCAGTACCATGCATGAAATAAATGCTGTTTAAGGGATGCATCTAAACAATCTGTTGCTGTTCAATAAATGTCTATAAAATCCACATTAGTTGACATCTTGTTCTGTGGTACAGTTCCATTCTATGTAGTTATTTCCTTACCTACATAAGAAGTGGAAATTAACCTAGCTTATGATAAGGTGCCTGCAAGTGGTGCATGCGATAGATGTTTTGGTGTATGATATGTGATGAAGGTTCATATTTTACTTTTTTCACCTGTCTCCTTGTATATATATTTTTCTGCAAGCAGGGGGTCTTCATGGAAACAGCTCTCTACCCTTGGGAGGCAATGACTGCATACATCTTACCACTAGACCCTCTATGTGGGATATATCGAGTTAGTTTGGTTTATGTGATAAATGTTTAAACGTTACTGAGCCCTATGCTGTTATAGCAGTGAAAATACAAAATTGCTGTCAGGACCGATATTTTAAATAGCGGTTATAGTGGTGGTATAGCGGTCCAAAAATAACGGTTCATATAATATTTCTTTAAATTATATATACATATATATATATATATATATGTATGTATATGTATCTATGTACACATAAACATATCATATGCATTAATTAAAAATATAGTTTCAACATCAACTTAAACAAGTTTCACAAAACACAATAGGAGAAGTGTTCATAAAGGAGCTAATCACAAGCAATAGGTTCAACATCCGAGTCAACATAGTTCTAAAGAGGCCCAAGCTAAAATATCGGAATAGCGGTCCGCAATTTCACCTCAAATATCGGTCAATTGCGCCACTAATATCGGAAATGCAATTTTCACTGCAATTTGACCACCGCAATTTTATCTTAGTGCACAATCCGCTATTTTGCACCTTTATTGCAGCGCAATAGCGCCCCACAATTAACAGCATAGAGTCAAAGCCTAAAGTTTCCTTTTTCTAGTTAATTGTTAAATTGTCCTAACATGATAATGTTCTTCTTTTTCTAGACTTGTGATCTTTTCCCTAGTTCTTTAGATTTATTGGTTGTATCTTTATTGTAGTTGTTGTGAAGTTGGACTTTAAGAGATAAAAGTTGGAAGTATGGCAAATATATATATATATACACACACACACACACATCTATAGGAAGAACTTAGAAATTAAGTAGAAGAATCGCCCTGCCACACTGTAAGGTACATGTCTTTGTATTTTACCAAGGCAAATGCTCTTATATTATGGAAAAAAAATGTATAAAGTTCTTGATGCAGTGATTAGAATGCATTTACAGTAAACAGATTTGGTGTTTCAAACTACAGCTTTGAGAGCTTGAATGGCTCACTTTATTATAATCTCCATTTTCTTGTGATGGTATCATTTTATGAAGTTGCATTGCACTGGCATTGGTTAAGTTACAGGTAAAGGCTTTACTCTCATTAATGGAGAAACAAGCAGGTAACAAGCTTTTTAGTTTTCACATTATTAAATCCACCTTACATTATTGCTTCACCACCCACCTGTCGGATGCCTATCATATTGTATAATGGGTTGATGATTTTCAACTAGCACTTTCTTTTGTTTCCAACTATAGCAAATCTATATGTTTGGTGGTTTCTTTATTTTCAACTAAAGGAAGTATATATGTTCAGTACCCATCATATCTGACAGTAAAAGCATAAAAAGAATTGAACTGATTTATGGCTGTTTGAGTTTGAAATTCTTTTCCAATACAGGAACTGTATGCTTAGCTCCTTCTTTGTTTAATATCCTGAGTGAAACTTTTCTTCAAGATTTCGTTGCTTTTCTGAGGTACAAGTTTTTGTCAAGACTCTAGAGAAGCGAGAGAACAAGCTCGCAGTTTCCATGGTGATGCTTTTTGGTTTTTTCTCATAAATCCCAGTGGCTGGCTACTAGAAGCTATCCAGCTGTCCCAAATACAGTATCAACAGATAGACATTGGGTCATGCTCAAAGTATGCTGGTTAATTGAGTACCATTGCTTGAAATATTTGAAGCACCTGGAGTAATTTTCGATTGTATCTGTCAAACATCTTCAGATGTATACAGGTGTGTGAAAGTTTCGGTCTCTCGGATGAGGTAACAAAAGTAAAAGTGGTTGCAACTGAAATAGCTGAAGATTTAGTGGAATTGGTCAGTGTTCCTACATGCTAGATCCAGGCTCTTCTAAAACCAATGGTAATACTGGATACTAATATCTGAAACATGCAGTACATAAGCAACTTTTGGTGTACTCAGTAAGTCACTTTTACTCATGTCACTTCCTGTTATGTCTTCTTCGCACTATATGTGACCCATCCAAGGTGATTGACTACCTTATTGCAGGGTTTTCCTTTTAAGCTAAATCACTTTGAACATTGGTCCTGGGTTCACGCTCTCTATGTTTCTAGCTCTAACAGCCTTGTACACTGTGAGTGTCTCAGACTGACTGAGGTTCTGAAGGGAAAGAATCGGGCTTGCATGCTCTTTCTGCCGATTGATTGTTTCACAGGGATCCTTGGCATCTGGTTTTTTAATTGAAGGACCAGTCAGGTTTCAGAAAGTTTTTTGTGTTACGGTTGCTCCATAGTACTCTAGAGGATGCTATTCTGTTATACAATAATCTTCTGCAATGCTGGATTAGTATTTCCTGAGTGTGGTGTCCGAATCATACACACATAGTATATTAATTTAACGTGGGTTTGCAATGACTTCTTAAGTATACCACTAATCCATCTTATTCATATCCTATAGATTCTCTATCATCAATGAATTAGACAGAAATTGCCTCCATAACTTTATGTATATATGGAAATTTTTATATAGAAACAATAATTGATGTGTTAATCTGAGCTCATCTGAAACATACATTCACCAGGGCTTCTGGTATTCCTGAGGTTATTTCCCTGCTCACTCATGCTACCATGCAACATTACTTTACAGGAAAACTTCATGGAAATCACAATTTCGTCTATGGTGGTACATTCTCAGCTCAATGGGAAATTTGCACCGCTGCGGCCATGCCTGCTTCTTTCTTTCCAAGAGTGTTACTAGTATGCTATAACATAAATATTTGACATTGATATTCAGGTAAATGTTACCTCTCAATGCCTATTACCTTTCTAGTTCTCACAGGAATATTCTTAATGACTTCCGCATTAATTTCAGCACAAGATCAGTTTACAATCTTTTACTACATTTTTTCTTTAGCTGTCTTCCCCTTGGTTGTAATTAGAACCACCCAAATATTTTCTTCATATTTATCAACCAACAACCACAAGATAAACAAAACCACATTTTAATCAATTTGTTAATTATATGTTCATGAGATGGTTACTTTGTACTTCACTTTATTCATTGTTTCTTTACCTTGCACACTTAGGAAGTTGAAAGAATAGGGTATTTTTTGAGACCACAAGAGATTAACTTATTTGATAGCTTCCACCTTGTCATATTCCTTTTCTTATTCTCTTTTCTCGTGGATGAGACTATGGGTTGTCTGAAGTCGCGGCTTATTAAGTATCTCTTATCATGGCACTAAGGC